GACAAATGTCCTGAAACGGATTGTGGTGTGATTCTTGAAGCGACTGAACTGTTGAATTGTCCGGTATGTGAATCACAGGCCAATACCATTGTTGGAGAAACCAACTAAACGAAGGGGAGTGTTGTTTGGAACCACTTCAAAATCAACTCCGAATTTTCCTCTGGTGGATTAGCTACCAGGGGGCAGAGTAAGGAGGCCCAGCTCACCTTCTCCTACCTCCTGGGCACATTTCTGGGGCATCTCCCTGCATGCCCGTCGCGTTGTGTAACGCGGAGCGCGGGTAGCCTCCCTTTGGCATTAGCCTGATGGGAAAGTAAATGAGGCCTCCGACGCCCTTGAGTCACCCTGAAGCCCGGAGCAGAATAGAGATGGCCTGGCCCTTTGTTGCCGGCCTATCCACGCCACTGCTGCTCGCCACAGACTTCGTATTAGGGCCCCGCCGGGTGTGTCGCGTGCTGTTTTCCTCCCCAGCGAGAGCGCACGGCTGCCCGAGTCCTTTTACCGAAGGACTGATCTCAGGAGGCGGCCAACAGGACACGGCCACCGTGTCCCACGGCCCGGAGCCCACCAGGTCAGCCCCCAGCCCGGGTCTTTTCCGCCACTTCCCTTCCAGCGGCCCCGGGGTGCCACTGGGTGCCATTGCGGGCGCTGCCCTCTGGGTGGCAGGAGAGAGCCGCGCCGCGCCCTGCGCGCTGACGTCATCCCGTTTCCCCGGCTCCGGGTCCTTTTTAGCTCTAAGATCACAGGATGTTCTTTGGGCCAATGATTTCCCTTTCGCTTTGGCCAAAGCACGCTGATCTTGACAATGGATTTCGCCGCGGGCAGGGTTGCTCTGCGCACACTCGGAATCTGCGGCTGTTCTTTCTGGCTTGGGGTTTGGGACCTGCAGGGAGGGAGACTAGGGAGCGTTTGCTTTTCTACTTCCCTTCCCCTCTTATAAAATCTCGACTCAGCGGGAAAATATTTGGACTTTGAAACTTCGAGGAATGAGGGGAGCCGCTCCCTTAGTCAAACTTGTCCTGATTCATGGTGTGCAGACACCTTGAAGGTCACGGAAAGGCTTGGAGGCTCAGATGCGCCCCACCTAGGAGTCGGACCTGAATGTCGCATAGCCTGGAATCTCACTGGAAGTATGCTCCGTAGCGGTGGAGAGCCGGAGTTCGTCATACGTACTTTGGACAGGAGAGACCAGTCCCTGGAGAAGGACATCGTAGAGGGTCAGGGAAACTAGATAGATTGGCACAGTGACTCCGCAGTGGGTTCAAACACACTGATTATGAGGATGACCCAGGATCAGGCACTGCCTCATTCCGATGTATTTACGTTACTGTGAGTTCGAACCCCTCTGACAGAAGATAGAAGCATCTGAGGTCAGGGAGACGATCGTCTATAGATTGATGTTAAAAATAAATGATCCTCAAAGTGTTTTTAAGTGCCCGTTCCTCCCCTTCCTCCACCCATCCCATTCCATCCTTTTAAACTCTGCTTCCTTTGTAGAAAAACAACTCCCAGGGAGGGCAGAGTCCTGCAGCCTCAAGTAGTTTGTGAGCACTCTGGTCAGAAGAGAGATGGTTTTCATGCAGGCAGGGTAGGGAGGGAAATTCTTTTTTAAAATTTTAAGATCATTTTAGTGGGGACTCTCACAGCTCTTAGAACAATCCATACATCAACTGTATCCAGCATATTTATACATGTGTTGCCATCATTATTTTGTAAACATGTACTTTCTTTTTGAGCCCTTAGTATCAACTCCTCTATTTACCCTCCCTCCCCCTTCCCACCCTTGTCCCCCTTGATAAACTATAAATTAATATTTTCATATGTTACACCGACCACTGTCCTTCCCCCACAGTTTCTTCTCCCCTCCTCTCCCCACTTCCTCCTACCCTCCTGGTATGGAGAAAGTTCCATCCTGTTTAATTCATCAACCATTTCTGGTGCTCCACACCTGTTGGCAACTACTCAGGCACTAAAGGTTACAAAAGCATGGCTCCTGCTACTGTGGAACCTCAAGTCCAGT